CTGGACAAGCCGCCAGACAAGCAGCTCCCAGATGAGCCGTGTGCAGCAGTGAGAGCCACCCCCACACAAACAGGCCATGGCTCTATCCTACACCTGCTGCACCTTGGCTGGGCAGCACCTACCCCAGCCCCTGCCACACTCCCTCCTTCACCGCAGGGGGAGTTGATCTGCCCCACCAGACCTCTTCTCTCCCCTCCCCTTTCACCACAACAGACTTACCAGCTTCACGCTGTCACAACCCAGTTAATCAGTGCCCATGCCACTAGCAAGAGATACCATTCAAGTAGTCAACTAAGGGTTAAAACAAAATCCTGGTGGAGAGCTGTATATAATTTATGTCCATGTCACCAATAAGAAACGAAACTTAAGGCTGGTCAGGGTGGAAGGGGATAGCCCTGCCATAAATCCCTGCAATTGGTCAAGAAACAAGCGTAAGCCCCTCATCATAACCTCAAATGTAACAGGCAGAAAACCTAACCCACTACCTTGTAACCTGATAGCAACCTGAGAGCACAAAGAACTGCTGCTTGCCAGAAAATTAAAGATTCCACATAATGGTTCATCATTGGGTATCTCCGTCAGACACCTCTGTCTATAAATAGTTTAGCAGCTTCCGCCCAAGGCGGAGACTTCTGGGGAAATCTCTGAGGAGAAACCTGAGTCCATCACCAGAGTAAATTGACAGTTTGATCAGTTGTCAATAGCTCCCCGTCAGCGTAAATATTGACATATCAAATCCCTGCAGGCACGATAGCTCATTCCCGGCGCCACGTCCGTCATCGTTAGCTGTAACCCGAAACTGTATGCTTGATCGTAATCGCTGTATCGTTAGCTGTAACCCGAAACCGTACGCTTGATTATAATCGCTGTATCGTTAGCTGTAACCCGAAACCGTACGCTTGATTATAATCGCTGTAACCGGAACAACTGCAACGAAACAAAGGCTCAGCCTACGTTGCACATCACTATCTGGGTGACGTAAGTAAACAATCTCCTATAACCAACACGCATCTATGCCTGGTTAATTCCACTCCACCCATTAAGCCTGTTAAGGCGACAGTTTTACTGCTCCGGTGGGGGGGTCAACAGGCGGCTGCTGGCGGCTGCTCTGATCCCGACACACGCAGCTCTCCAAGCTGCCGGGCTGTGCTCCTTGCTGCCGGCATGCTGTGCTGCGGCTGCGTGCATTTATCAGCCAAATTATCAGCCACATCAGGCCGATTTCCAATACAGTCAACTTTCTTTATATCAGTGCCAACTTGATATCAGACCAATATATCAGTGCACCTCTAAAAACACCCTCATCAAATGCAAAATCAATTTTACAATCCTTACTAATTATGTCAAGAGTAAAATCTAAAATATACTCTGCACAGTACTGTCAGACAAAGTAATTTTTTTGTAAAAATAGGTCTACCATTTAAGTCCCCTGGCATTTTGCCCCAGTTGCCTGAGAACTAATGAATCCAAAAAAGTCAAATCTCACATGCTGTGTGTTATAAGGTAATATTTGCAAAGTAATATTTGATAGGCAGTTATTTCTTTCAAGATAGAAAGATAGCCAAATCCCATTAACTACTGTAGCCTGTTACTAAAAATTCCAACTTCACAAGATTGGGTTTAGAACAGTCAAAATAGGCAACTTCTGTAAGGAGATACTGTTTAAATTGATGCTGAACCTCCCAAC